ACAGGAGATAGATGTGGGCCATTATCTCTGAAGAACAGAGATCAGCAGCTGCCAGACTTTGGGGGGGAAACAGGCAGGTGCCATTCTTTGCATGGTCTCCAGAGAGTATTAGGCATGGTCACCAGCCTCCTGGTGTAATAATTGCCTCCTGTTCCTATGAAATGAAGCCAAGCTTTCATTGCCATTTCCACCTTTATATCTTTATCACTGCATTGCTCATAGAAAAAAACCACAGCAGAATTTCCATTGCCTCACCTCCTTCCACTTACTCCCGTAAGCCCAGTTGGCACCTCTGAGTGCCATCATCCCTCCTCTCTTTGGTTATACCCCTGGTCCTTTCCTTTTTTTGGCATTCAGCTAGCTCATTTCAGCAGTGCTTGGTCTTCTGTCCTGCTGGCCACACTGATTTTGGAGGTTGTCAGTGAGAGCCAGCCAGTATGGTTTGGCATGTTGATAGCTACTCGTGCACTCCAGCTCCCTTTGAAGACAGAGGGTTGCTGGACTCGGGGGAGCCCCAGCCATCTCTTTTGGCTCAACTGGAAAAGACTCCGCAGTGGTTATTTTCTGAAACCCAAACCGAAATGGAAATGGCAGGCAATCTGGGGCTTGAGGTGTCAGGTTTCCTTTATCTGAAAAATTCGCATTGTTAACTTTTGTCAACCACACTCTGGCTTTTTACCAAGGGGATCTTTGCATAAGCCTCTGAATTTGCAACATGTGTATTCTTGGATTGCCACAAGAGTGTTTCATGGCAGTTTTTATGTTCTGTGTAAAGTCGGTATACGTCCGTTAGTAAATCAGGATAATGCTTCTAGAGTTGTCAGCAGTAGCTAGGGCTTTTAGAAACACTTTGCCCGTGCTGATTGCTTTCTTTGGATATGGGGCTGGGGAAGGGAGATGGTGTGTTAAGCTCAGGGAGGCTCAGAGCAGTAGGTTCACCCCTTTCCTTGGGCTTAGTATGGGCATAGTATGCTCAGTCTCCAGTGAATCAGCCAGAGGCATGGGCAATACGAGTCCGGTTCCTGACATTAACTGGGGCAGTGCTTGAATCGGCACTGGCCGAAGCCTTGCTCCTTCAGAATGAGTTTGCTGCCTTTGAACTCCTCCTGGCTCGACATGGGCTTGTGCTGTGGCAGGGGTTGGAGCCAGCCTGGCTCTCCCAGGCCACACGACGCCCGGAGCCTGTGTCATCCTCTGTGCCAGCCTTGGCCTCCAGAGGTTGCAGTTGTGGGTTCCTCCTTTTCGTTTTCCCAGGGCTTGCTTGCTCGATAGACAAGTGTGATCTCAGAGTCATGCTCTGTAACATGGCAGCTCTCCCTGCATGCCTATGCAAGCACAGCCAATTCACCTCGACCATCGGGAGTGGAAGTCTCCTAGCTGGGGTGGGATGTCCTCTTTGAAACCCTGAGGGCTTGCTGGAAAAAGAGGTTTGGACAACAGAGTTCAGAGCCATCAAGAAAGCCCATCCAAATGGTTTGCTTCCTCAGAGCAAGGGAGTCGCTCCATACCTGAATGCCAAGTGACTTAATTTTTATGTCTACCACATTAGACTTTCCAGAGAGTCCCTGAAATGGTTTTTCTTGCAGTGAAACACAGATGCATCTTTTTCTGTGCGGAGATTATCCTGATAGATAACAATGTGTTTGAGCTTGCTACCAAATATGCAAAAGCAGATGTGCTTTTGTTGGTTGGAGCTGGCTCTTTCCAGCTTGAACTGTGTTTGTGGCGACCTGCTATCTGCAGAGCAGATATTCAAAGTTTTGTTGGTATGTGTTAGGGACAATGGAGTAACTAAAGCACCCAGAAGTGGTGCTGTGTTCTGTACAGCTGTGTTAAATCTCTGTTAGCCTCAAGGACCTCAGGGCTGATTTCCAGGTGATGATTGGCGTGTGGTGTCCTGCTTGAGGTTCCCCATGGTGTACATGGTCACAGGGACCTTCAAAACCAGAATGAACAGTATTGCAAAAGCTGGATTTCTTTGAGATACTACGCAATACCTGTGCAGTCATCTGCCACTCATTTTCGTTCCTCCTCATTAATTTTATTTTCTTTGTTTGTAGATTGAGGGGAAATAAGAGTTCCCAGGCAGGGTCAAGGGCACAAATACTGATAAGGAAAACAAAAAGTCCCCAGTTGCGGCTGCTTATGGCTCTAAATTTTCGAGTACCAGCAGGTATGTGAAAGCCCAAAAGCTCCCTTTGCTGGTCAGTAACCTTATTTAAGTTGGCACGACGTAACTGGAACAACATCCTGCAGCTTTTGGATGTTTTTATTGTACTTCTGTTTCTAACCAAATCCAGCTTACAGCTATTGAGGTTCCAATTCTTACAGGTTTTTAAGTTAAACAATTATAATTATCCCCCATTATTTTCTACTCAAAATGTATGTATTTTAAAATACGTATAATCGCTTAAATATGTAGCCTTGCCATCTGAATGGCAAAAAGGCCAGTTACATTTGCTGTAAAAGTTACATTAAGGTGCAAATTAACGTTGTTTTAGTGGTTACTGGTAAATGAAAACCTGGGCATCTTTCAGAAAATAGCTGATGCAGAAATGCAAAACAAAGGGAGCTTAAAATTAATTATTTAAATTGGCATGTCCTATTACATTATTTAAACCAGAATATAAATCTGCCTAGTGTGGGTTTGTTGAATCAAACAGGGATCTCTCAATTGTGTATTTACCAGAATAAATTACAATTTAAAAAAATTTATGATATCTGAACAAGATTGTAATATATAATATTTATCGTTTCTACAAATATTTGATTTGATGGGAACCAAACTGGTTCTGCCATTGCCAAAAGCTGAACCTCATAATTTATTTTGTGGTCGTATAAATTTTCCTTTGCCTGCTTCTTCAGTGGTATCCCAAATTGTAACTCTTTTTAATGGTCAACCAATCTTGGCTTGAATTTTCCCATGCCTGAGGTCCACAATGCTGATTTAGCAGAACAAAAACTTTGAAGATATTTCCTTTTCTCTGTGCTGTTTATTATATCCTTTGCTTCACATGTAGACCGAGCTCTGAAGCTTAGCTCAACAAGAAACCACTGTTGTGGTCAGGCTGGCTCGTGGGAAGTGGCACTCTAACCGTTCCAGTTTGTTGTTCTCCTGGGTCCAAGATGATTCCCACAGGTTGGGCCGGCAACTTCTGGCTTTTGAAATCGATATAGAGACCTCCCAAATAATGTGTCCTTTCGACAGTTTTTTACCTGCATCGGCACACTGATGATGGTTACTCTAGGCTGGGTGAATGGTCCTTCAAAGAGGACTAGGGTGGGTTTAGCACTTACTCAGACCATTTGGGTTTGAGCTTTTTCAAGGCAGACATCAACAACTTGTCAGCTATAAAGAAAACAAGAAATAATATTTTGCATTCTTTTTTTTTACTTTATAAAGTTAAATAAGTGCTCCGAGAAAGTTTCTGTGCTTGTTTATTTGCTTCCTTAAAACCTTGGAATCCAGACCTATAAATACAGGCTGACTTCATGTTTACAACTATGATCGCTCTCACTTGAATTGATTGACGCTGCTTGTAAAAAAAAAAAAAGTATTAAGAGATGTTTATTCTTCTTGCTAAAATATGTTGCTTTTGTATATAAGGGAAAACCAATGTCAAAGTGTCAACCTCTCACTTTTCTAAAACTAGGAGGCCTGTTTGCCAGCTGTTACAGAAGTAGAAGGAAAGATTTTACAACCAGACTTAAGAGATGTAGCTTTTCACAAAGTTATCGGCTATATTGAAAGCTTAATAGGACTTGGGTATTGACCTTAAATAAAGAGTCAGCATTTCTTACAAAGGAGCGTGGCCTGATAGTTGTAATTCTTTTTTTATTGGGGATTTTTAATGTCATTTCTGCATTGCAGATTTCTAGCTGGAGTTTTTCCCTAATTCTTTTTAGAAGATGATGTAGGTTTACCAATCTGTGTGAGTTTTCTTCTTAAGAAATGTAAACCACTTTTCAGATTTACCAAATTATCCCTGAATATCATCTGCAGCTGAATTTAATCAATTTAGAACAGTTTTGCCTCCTTGTTAAGAAATATCCTTTATTCAAACTTGAAAAACTAGATGAGGTAAGAATTATGTTTCCAAGACTGTGTTTACAAATCTAAATTTGTTTTCATCTCAACTGTTCAGGATGCAGAAAATTTACCAATTTAAGTTTATTATGTTGGAATATGATTCCATAGCTTTGAGTGACTCAGAATGGAGTAAAACCTAACAGTTAAATTTAAAACATCATTTATTTATAAACCAGAAACATGTCCAAATAAATTTGCATCTGTCAGATGTTTCAACTGTGACAATGCAGTTTTGATTTACATTCCTTTTTGCTGAATAAAATGGCTTGATTGCATTATATAGTATTAAAGCAAATATTTTATATAAAGCTAAGCCAACTGCTTTTAGGCAAACATTATTTTTGCCTTGACATACATGCAAAAATGTTTCCCACTTAAAGGAAAGTGGTTGAAGGAATTTGGATTGAGTAATTTAGGTTGAACTGTTGAAAGCAAAGTTGCTTGCTTAGGCATCAATCCAGTCAAAACTCGTGCACATCGTTAACTTTCTGCAGTCTGCGTAGCCTGTGAGACCTCTACTGACATGGATAAAGTAACGAGCATGCCACATCTTTCCTGAATTGGTTGTACGTACCCCACCATCACATGCACTTGAATTAAGCGTGTGTTTAAGTGTGCTTGCAAATAGAAGACCTGGGGCTCCTCAGAGATTACCTGATCGCACCAAAATGCTCAGCTGGTGGTCAAAAATGAGATTTCCTTTCTAGTGTATGCCTACGCTTGGGGAAAAAAAAAAAGGGAACGTTTTGTTGCTTTTAATATGAGCTTCGTTGGATTGGTTTGTCTGACTGTGCAGTCGTGACGCAGTGTTGTGTTTTATCAGTGCCCACCCCCAGCAGAATTCTTTGCTTAAGAGGAGGCAGATTTTCACCTACTGAATAAGACTCTGGACTCGCATTGATGCTTCTCGGTGTTGTCTTGTGTGCTCTCCTGTGCCGGAGTGAATTTTATCCCCGGACTGCCTGGTGTAAGTTACAGCCCTCTTTCTACCCTCTGGAAGTTTGCATGTTCAGATGTGACTGTGCTGAATGATAGGATGTCTATTTTAGACTTCAGCCTGTATTTACAATCGGGAGGGCAAGTCGCTGGAAGAACTTAGCTCCTTTTTCTTTTGAAACAACTTTTAAATACTGGGTGAGTTTTAAAGATTTCTCTGCATGGTTTTCTTTTATAAAACATGTTTCCCATAACCATGAACACTTGTTTTCTCTGAATGGATCTTAAACTCTGTAGTGTCGAATCTTAAAAAAAACACTTGCTTGTTAGAAAGACTTTGTTCAGTCACTGAAGGATCCAATTGTCCCTTAGAGAAAAAGATTTATCAGCAAATGCACAACAAGGACTTGTTGGTATTTTACCTATCTTACTTGTTTGTAGAATTGCTATTTAAGTGTGAGTGCTCTCTGTGTTTTTAGTGAATGTTTTCAGCAACAGAGTCTCACGCCCAATATTTTATATGCATTTTTGACCTTTCAGTGGTGGGAACAGAGGTTGATAGGGACTAAGAAAAGGAAGCATCCTCTGGAAGTTTTGGGAGCTGGCGGTGACAGTCCCTCTCTGCAGTGTTAAACTGGATGGGAGTCCTTGGAAAGCTATCAACTTCAGTCTTGTTTCCATATCAAGTAGTAGCGTGAAGTATGCTTAAACACATTGCGGAAGTGTTAAAATAGGGACTGATTGATACAAAAACTGCTTCTGCGAATGTGGTGATTGATTTTTTTAAAGTAAGTTGAGGGTGCTTTTTTGTGTACCGGAACAGTAAACTTGCATCATGCTTGGCCTTGTGACAAGTCTTGTACATGTAATTTAGAGCCATATAGGGATGTTCTTAGTCTTGGACCACTTGAATTAATATCACCTTTCATATAATGAGTATAGTATTAGTAACTTAAAGTAGATAATTTGCAAGGCTTGTGGCCCGAGCATGAATGGGAGACGATAAGGACTATTGATGTGAACGATGTTAGTAGCTTTGATTAAAAACCAGGCTTGGTTTCTATGCAGTGCTGTGTTTAGTACCAATAGACTGGAATGCCAGATCTGGTATGAGTTTATAATACGTAGGTGGGAAGCCTGACAGATTGGGTTTATATAAAGAACAACATACAGAAATTAGAGAGGTATGGAATAACCTCCTAGAAGCTGCTGTCTGGTAAGCATTTTAGACAGACTTTTGAGCAACTGCTAACCAGAAGTGAACCTGCCTGTCAGTAAAAATTCCATGCCACTGTCTATCATGAAACGTCTGCTGTTTTCAACACTGCAGGGAAAAAAAATAATCCTCCCCTGTCTGTCTTGTAACAATGCAAAGTGGAGTAGTTGTAATCTTGAGAAATGCTACACTAGCTGCTGACTTTTGATTTCTACTCATACTTGGGCAACAACAAAACAGTTAAAACCAGGACCTTGTGGAATCTCTGTCCTATCCGGAGTAGGAGGAAGTTTTCAACTGCAGCACGGGACAACTTCTGAGAGCAGAAGAGCTGCATACAGCATGATTTATATATGGTATGAGCTGCACATGGGATGATTTATATACCTTTCAATGTTTCACGAGTGCAGTAGGTTCTTCCCTAATTTTCTGCAAAGAGAAGACTAAAGGACATTTATGGAGTCTCTGTTTGTTTCCTTTATGTCACGCAGTTGGATTGCTGGTGGGTAATGCACTCTGATTGCTTCCCTAGACTTTGAACTTTGTCCCGAGCTTTTATTTAACCGTTTGTCCCTGTTGTTAGATGTTTCTGTGTTCTCTTTAGCAGCAATTTGTTTGGCAAAAAAAAAAAAACCAAACAACTGACAACTTTTCAAATTTCATATTATTTTTTCACTAAAAAATTGTCTAGACTTAGAAGCGTACTGTGAATAGTTTCCAGAAGAGCTGTCTTAGTAAATGTTCATGCATAAACCTATCCTAAAATGATCTCAGAAGATCCTGACTTTTTCCGGAGGATTCACTTGTCGTTCTGCATGAATCAAGGTGCTCCCCTACCTAGGTTTTGTTTTTGTGTCTCCCTTAGGGAAGAAATAGCACTTTGTGTTGACAGAGTTATAACAAGATGTTTAGCTAGCAACAAAATAAAGTCCGAGGGGGGTGTCTGGATCATCTGCCAGTGAGGCAGAGGGACGTGCTTAGCATTTCCAAAAATCAGATTTTTCTCACTGAGGTGCAAGTTCTGTAAGTTTCTGAGTCCGTGTAAACAGTTAAAAGCTTCAACTCAGACCTCATAACTATGATTCTCTAATTATGGATCATAAGGAAACTGTATTAGCTAAAAATCTTCCCTTAACGCAGAATTAGCTTATTACAACTTGACATTTCATCTCTATGCGATTTTCTTCACTCTAACAGCTATGAGAGATGCACGCTCCAGCTTTGGGTCCTGCAGCTCCCCAGTGCTAACACAGTTCCTCTGCCCTGCTAATGCCCAAGGGTGAGTTTGCAGCACGGCCACTGCAGTGCAGGCTGGGCTGGCTCAGGAAGAGTTATCCGAAGCGTAAATAGGAAAACGAACTTTTCCACCCAGAGTCTGCTGCAGTAGCGTAGCGCACCTGGCTGTGGAGGCCTCCATGGAGGGGCGGCAGCCGTCCCGCAGGTAAATGGGAGGATTTCCTAGCATCTAGCAGATCAGGTTGAATTGCATTTGGCATGCATAGAGGCGGGTTGATGAAATATAAATGAATGCAGGAGATAAACAGGCTAGTGACTTCCAGCTGTCATGCAGAAAGCAGATCTGCCGTTCCCTACTGTACAGCGGTTTTTTCCAGTTTCTTTTTTGTCCCAGTAACAACATGAAATACCACAGGCTCTCGGGTTAGATTAGGTGATGAGGGGCATAGCTCAGCGTGTCTGAGCATGCCAGATGTATTTTGGGCTCCAGAAAGAAGCATGCTACAAGATTTAGTCTGTATTTAGTCACTGGCCTACTTTGTAGGATATTTTGCATTTCTGAAAACTTTCTCAGCAGAGATGTGCCTTTTTTTTTTTCTTTCTGTTTCTTTGTTTAAATGTTTAACATCTCTTACAGTTGTTTAAGGTTGAAAGTAGTAACACCTATCGGTTCAAATGCTGCCTGCATGTTAATTTTTAAAAATGTATTTATTCGCTTTCCTCTTTTCCTTTTGATTTTCATCTCGTTAAAGACAAGGCTTGTCTGTTGCTGTGCTCGGTCACTTGTGCAAATGCAGTGAACGTCAAGTCGAGCCTCCCAAATTTTGTAGGAAGCTCTATTTTGAACTGTCACCTTGCATAAAATAACAGGAGGGACTTCTTACTTAAGACATCCTTTTCTCCTGAGGCTGTATATCTCATTTCACAGGGAGGGAGGTTATGTAGCTGCTTCTCCAAGCCCTTTGCCAAGAGCCCCGCTGACAGCCTTTGGGAGACTCTTTGGCCTTCAGGAGGAGGTTTAGGAGCACACATATGCACACTTGAAGTCTTAATTTCTTTGGGACCATCTGGAGTTCTTCTCCCCGCCCCTCCCAGGGAAGCTAATAAAGGCAACCTTGTGACTTAGTGGTTTATTTTGGAAGCTGCAGGAACGCGCTGTGGCTGGAGGAGCCAGATTTGGCTAATGTTGTTCTGTGAACTCCACTGCGATGGGGCAATGTCACAATCCCCCTGCTCTTCCTTTCTCTATTCCAGAAATTGGATCACCATGGTGAATTGGTAGGTTCGTTGATAAGTGGAGAAAAGACAGATCTCTGCTGGGAATAAGGGTGTGCTTTCATCATGTGGGTCCGAAGAAAATGGGTCTCATAATCACAGCGTCTGTGGAGGCATGCATGGATCTCAGTCAGCTTTGCCCATTTTCGGGAGAGGAAACTGGGGCACCAAGGCTATAGGTACCGTGTAAATCCATGCAGGATGAAGAATGTCATCATTAATCTCCAGGATCAAGAAAGAACCCTAGTCCAGCACTTCATCTCCTAGCAAAAATCTACATAATAGAATTTTTTTAACGAATTAATGTATCGGTGTTTTGTCTTCCTTCACAGGCGAACAAATGCTAACTGTAATTGTTTGTTCCAAGTATCGTTAGCCTTTTCTGTCTCTGTCAAGTCCTTTTCCACTCAGTGGGCTGAGTGCTCATGAATTATAAAAAGGCAACAAGTCTTTAAACATCAAAAATGCATCGGTGCTTCGTTTTCTCATGTTATCTCATAGTATAAACATCGTTATACAAATGTTTTTACCCATTAAGACCTTCCAAGATGTTATTATAGAGTGTAAGGCATTCAAGGATTGATGTCTGCTCCATGTCTGGAAAAGACTGGAGCAACAGTTGTTCAGCCAGTTTGGAGCATGGAGAAAGAGAGAGGGACATCTTTTCTGCTGAGTATGTATATTTAGAGAAAGAATCAGTCCTTGACGTCAACTTAAGCATTTTCTAGGAAACATATAGATGTGGTGTTTTTCTGTGGATTGTTCTCAAGGATCCAGCACCTCAGGAATATGCAAAATCTCTTTTAATTTTTAATTTTACCATTATTTCAGAGGTTACAGAGACCCTTTCTCCTTGCTACCGCAGGACCTACATTGCATTGAGGTCATTGAAAGAAATTAAGCATGGTCTTGAAACTGTGGATGTGGATATATTGTATGAGGCTGAAGTGACGGGGAGGAAGCAGAGAGCAGGAGGTGGGCCTGGGGATTTTCATCTGATAGCCCCTGTTCTCTTGAAATGCTTCTTAAAACATGTGGAGTTGGCTGACAGATATTTGCTACTAAATGTTCTTTTAACCCCTTGCCACCTCCAAAATGGCACTTTTCTGGAACCAAACAAATGGATAGGAAAGCAGAGGGTGGCATGGGACACCCTCATGGCAGCTACTAGCAGAAGAGGCAGATGGTTTGGGCAAATTTGCTTCTAGCTTTTGACCATCTTGACATCAGTGTGGGCCTTATCACTCTGCTTAGCAGTCTTTTGGATGGTGAAGGTTTTATTTTTTGAAGTCCCTTTCTCTCTCTTTCTCTCTCTCTCTCTCTCCATTTTTTGGCTTGAAAGAGCTCACTCTTTTTCCAGGCTAGACTAATTAAGGACTAATTAAGATGTAGTTCAAAAGGCAATCATAAAACTGAAACTATCAGAAGAAATACTAAAAGATATATATAACAACTGTTTGACTATAATGACTGTTGGTAGCCATCTATAGGAAAGAGCAGAGAGCTCAAATTTTTAGTTCAACTTTTTGATTTGACTTCTCTAGATCTGTAAGGATATGTGGGAATATTGCGATTATTGTGCTGTTTCAGTGACTGAGAAGCTGTAAGAAAATTGTATTCTTACTGCATGGGATGTGATAACAGCAACAGATGAATATTAGTGCTCTTCAGAATATTTCAGTGGTATTTCCTAGACAGACATATAGATAAAATAATTTTTCAAAGGAGTGCATCCCTGGCTGCAGCTGATAAAATGTTGAGAGCTCTGCTGAGATTGGTGGAGCCGGGTGATATCTAGCAGCTGGAAATCAGGCTGTATGGTGTGGTCTATATATTCTACACGTCTTATATTCACTGGGTGCAAAGAGACAAGAGGAATCCTACTTCTAGAAAGAGGTCTTATCGCACTGCTTGATAAATGCAACATTAAAAAACCCCCAACCTTTCGAAATCCTTTTGAATGGCTCAGAAGATTTTCTCAGTCATGATATTGCAAGAAACATATCGCTTTAGAGGTGACCTAATTTTAACCTTCTCTGAATTGCTTTATGATTAGAACAGTCACATGCTGAGGTAGGACCCCATTAATGGGTTTAAATCATCTGTTTACTTCTGAAAACGAGCATTGTTATCGGCTCTGCTGAGTATTCCCTTTTTTAAAAAATTTTCTTTTCTTTTTTTTTTTTTTTTTTTTCTCCTGTTGCAGGACAGAACATTGCAGTTGTACCGATTTGGGAGCAAAATATGGAATGTGTTTCACTGCTGACCGAAGGCAGCCAAATGAACAGTATTTATAGTAGTTTGAAAATCAGCAGTTAGCAGTTTCTTCACATTCTAACACTACCCAGCACTTTCCAGAGAGAACTCATTGTTTACAAGAAATCTGCTTTCCAAATCCGTTGCGGTGCCCTCCAGCCTTGACTATTAACTATTTGCAAAGGGGAAGCTAATCTACAGTTTGGGGAAAGATGGCAATGGATGAGTACCTGTGGATGGTCATTGTGGGTTTTATCATTGCTTTTATTTTAGCCTTTTCGGTTGGTGCAAATGATGTTGCCAATTCTTTCGGAACGGCTGTGGGCTCTGGTGTTGTTACTTTACGCCAGGCTTGCATTTTGGCTTCAGTTTTTGAAACCACTGGCTCAGTATTACTGGGAGCAAAAGTAGGAGAAACAATTCGGAAAGGTATCATTGATGTTAACCTGTACAACAACACCGTCCCACTGCTGATGGCAGGAGAAGTGAGTGCAATGGTTGGTAAGTAATACTTTCCTATTTCAAGTAACGTTCATTGTGTATTTGTCATCCTGTTTGTTGTGGATCTTGTTAATTAATTCTTCCCATCTTCTGGACTTGCACATCTGGTTTTGTGTGAATGCAGGGGCCTGTATTCCTGTTTCAGTCTCCTATGTTTTTTAAATGCTTCTAATCATTTACATTTTTCAATGATTCAGCCATTTAATAGAAGAAAAAATGTTTAGCATAATGGATCATATATACATATTGCTAGGGTACTGATAAAATTATTTTGGAGATTTTTATGATGGTAAGAGGAAAATATGTAAGCATAGCATTTGCAACCGTACAGAAGATCCTACAGAAATAGCAGTTTGCAATGAATACATATGAGAAGGAATTACCTAAATAATTTTTTAAAATTGCAGGAAATCCAAATATATTTGCTTAAACTGATTGTCTAGCTGAGTGATTGTAATTAATCATACACTTCACCCTTGCCCATAGGAAAACTAAAGGAGGAGTAAAGATAGACAGTCACACATTTAAGGTCTTTTTAATTTTTCTGACTCAAGCCGACAGCAGTTCAGTGTACCTCCTTACAGTCTGCTCCGCATGCTTTTGCTTGCAGTTAAATTAATCTTCGTTTAGAACAAATAGCATATTCTGAGGTAAGTACCATTAAGCCACAGTATTTACTCTTTGTTTATATGCAAGAGGCTTTGTGAGCTTTTGGAGAGCTCCCTCAAGGATCAATAGCAAACCTGCTTTTAAAGGGCAGGAGACAGCAGGAAGGAAACCCTTTCACTGTGGGAGAGGCAGCGCAGGCAAAGAGCCAGTCTGCCCATCCCACCACTGCTTCTTCAGTCTGGCAGGTCCGTGGCATCCCACGACAGGGTGACGTGATTTATATGAGCATTGCGGCATCCTCTGTTTGAAAGGGATGCTCCGCTCAAAGATTTTCTTCCTTACACTTCCTTTAACCTAACCTAAATTTTATTTCCATCTACACCCTCTAACCTCCCCACAGTTTTCAGGCAGGACCTGCATGTGAGACAGGTGAATCCGTGCAGAAGTCTACTACATGCAGTTATTTTCCCATTTCTTTGGGGAAATGGGAAAATTTTGCTTTTTTAAAATTTTGATGTCCATCAAGATGGACATTGAGTGCCAGTTTCTGGACTTGTCTGAGGTGGCTTTGTGTGCTTAAGAGCAGGGAGGTGGTTCCCTTAGGCTTTCGCTGCTCCTGAGCCTCCTGAAGCTTGGCCACCTTCCACTGCCCAAGGGGAAGAGGGGTTCATTAGTGAGAAGTTGTTGCTGGGACGGCAGCCATTTCACCAAATGGTCCCTCTGTGGGGTTGCCAACTTAAACCACATCAAATGCTCTTGGGCACCCCCCATCAGTTCTTCTTTCCCAATGTCTTGCAAGGTCAGCTACAGGTTTCTGGTCTTTCCATTAAGCTGTAGGGTGGCTTCTTAGTACCCCTCCACTTGCATCATTTAGCCTTCTGCTTCCTGAGATAGCTCCATCATTTCTCACAGGCATTGCCCGGGAGCAGCCTATGCTGTCTGAAATCTAAGTGACCTGCATCTTCTGACCTTCACGTTCTTGATACTCATGGACCTTGTTGAAGGAAGGGTCCTTTTCTGTATCTATTTCTGTCATCCTGATCCTGGCCGGGCAAAGTTTTAAGTCTCAGATGCCCCCTGTGGAGGCAACTGGCCAGAAGCTCAAGAAAACAACTTATTTGCATGCGTATTTACATAAGCCTGTGTGAACTTCATGACCAGTTGCATTCCCTTCCTCCAGTAAGGGCATTAAGAAGAAATTCCACATTTTAAATCTCAGAATTAATCACAAGTTACAAACTGCAGATTTCAATTTTTTTCCCCTGAAATCCATCTCCAGCTTTTCTCTGGATGTATGATATTTTTTTCTGTGTTTTCTCTGAGCCTTCCTGGTTGTTTTCTTTTCCTCTTTCTGTTTTTGCTCTGCATTTCCCACCCCCCCACCTCCACCCCCTGTTCTCTCATGCCTCATGATCATGTTTTTGCAAATGGACTTAGCTTCTGAATTTCAATGAGGCTTAAATAAGTCAACAGTCTGGGAGAGACCAAAAGTCGCTGTATCCTCTTTCCAGATGTTGGTGGAAGATCCTTTGATGCTTGCAGCAAACAGCAGATGGTGATTTTCAGGGCAACCTTCTCTCCTAAGAGAGAAGGAAGCAGGGAGCAATGGGATTAAAATTTTAAAATGTAACATTCTGTAATAATTTTTAGCATATTAAAATGTTGTTTGTTAGGCAGTTGGAAAGTTAGGGACTGTTGCCCTTGGGATTAAATTGTAATACTTCCCTAGCATTAGCTAATTGTCAGGTTATTGTCAGAAATTGCCTGAATGGTGTTCTAGTGGGAGCTGAAGCCAGCAGCTGGTGCGATCGAAGGGATGCCACTGACAGAGGACATCCCAGCCAGGATTAGCAAAGCAAAGTACTAACCCAGTCTTGCAGGTGGCATGGTACTCGATGGGGGCTCGCAGCTGGCACGTGGCACTGAAGCCTCAGGAGAACGGATGCAGTGCCTTCAGCAGCAGGGGAGCGTGAAACGCAGCCTGAGCTGAAAGCCAGTGCTGGCAGCTCTTGGTGAGGGAAGCGCGCAGCCAACCCTTTTTCTTTAGGAGGTAGCTACTGTTAGGAAAGGGTGTGCGGCCATGCTGTCAGAAGGCATGAAGGGTCTGAGTTTGGGACTCCGTGACAGTGAAACTTCTGCAGGTTAGGTCTGCAAAGATTAAAAATTGTCAACATGCATTTTATGTTAAAGAGGAAGCTTTGATGTAGGTAGTTAAGGCATTGCAAGCCCCAGAGGAAAGCCCTGCTCTGGCTTGATTTGTATTTTCTTTTGTTCCTTAATGTGCTTCCTTCTGGTGCTTCCTTCTGGTGCTTAATGTGCCCAGAGAGGTGGTGGAGTCTCCTTCCCTGGAGATATTAAAAATCTGCCTGGATGCAGTCCTGTGTGACCTGCTGCAGGTGAACCTGCTTCAGCAGCAGGGTTGGACCAGATGATTTCCAGAGGTGCCTTCTGACCCCTACCGTACTGTGATTCCTTAAACTTCTGTAGACCACACATTGTCCTTCTCAGATCATCCGTCAGTCCCCACCACTTTGCCTCTTGCTCTCCTGTTTCTTTTTAAGGTGAAGTTGATTAAATAAGAAATAGTGCCATACTCCCTCTATTGCCCCCCAAACAGAAAACCCAGACCTCACTACATATTTGCAGTGCAGCTGTGGCTTGGTTGTATTTTCCCTAGTTTTTAGATTGAGTATTTTGTAATTACATATCTATGGCTGGCTTACCTGTTTATTTGGCTCTTTACAGATGTTACCATCTGTTTTCTCTTTCACCTCACTTCCACTTGCCGGTCTCTAAGTTCATGTCAAAGGTTTCAAAGTGTATTTATTTTTATTTTAGTACAGGGGAAGAGAAGCCAAAAAATTAAAGAGCAGGTGTTCCTTATTTGATCTAGAATTTCCAATAGCAATAGGAGTGCCAGTTGTTTTGGGATAGTACCCCAGGAGAGATAAGTTTTACAAACTGGTTGACTTCCAAGTGTAGCCGCATATGATGCCAGGAAATCACCATTTGCTGATGGCTCCATTTCAAGACCTTCAAACCATCCTTCTCTGTTGGGATTGAGGATGGTGGCTGAGATTTTGAGTAACAGTATATGTTCAGTGACCTGTGCCTGCTGCAGATCTGTTAAGAGAGGTGGCACAAGCCAGAAAATACAGGATCTCTCATGGCAGTTTTGATTGCTGCCATTGGGGCCACTTAACAAATGAAGATTTAGTCTTAAGGCCATGAAGTCTCAAGATGAAGAAGAGAACTTTCTAAGAATCCTCTAATATTAGGTGAGATCCACAGAAAGCTCATGTCACTATCAACATGATTTTGGTGTCCTGAGGTTAGCGGCACTGCAAGAGGAGCAGGAAACCTGGATCCTTGCAATGTAAAAATGAGTCGGAGCATGGAGCTGCATGCTCAAGGGCTTGGTGGCCAAATGTGGTCTGATCTAACTACTGAAAGTTGGGACTGAAAACAAATAAAACAGATCCTCTCTGGTGCTTGAGGTCCTTTGGTTTTGTTTTTTTTTTTTTTTTTACTTTCATTCTTGGCAAATATCCTTCCTTGGGACATCTGTTGGGACACCAGACATCACGTTTACTTTATAGGCCATTAGCCACCATCCCTTAGTTAGTTAGGGGATCTTTCTTCCTTCTGCCAAGGGTATCTTTGGCTACTCCATTACTAAGATAAGCCTTTTCTGCAGTTGTGAGTTTCTCCAGTGCTGCAATGAGCTGCAAATGAAGGCAGTGAGAGGGTCCTTATTCCCTCCTCACTCCATTTTTCGTATAGAGGACTCCATATGGCTGCTTATCACTGCAATGAGGCCTAAAAGCTCCTTGCCTCTACAATTTGAGCCTTTCTCTGGTAGCATCTGAATTTAGGAGCATGAGTAGTTCATTAGTGAAATGGTAGATGCTCACTTACACTGATGACTTCGAGGATTCCAGGTCCAGTTCTCAAGAATGAAGTTTTCTAAGCTTGATGCTGACTGGGAGCAGTTTGTGAATTTAGTCAGACAGGCTGTAAATACTGATAGCCTTCAAAATAATAATAAAAAAAAAGCAGAACTGTTGTGCAGTGTAAAGAGCTGTTAGTAATAAAAAGTTGTAAGATGCAGCATTCAAAGCTGCTATTAAACTGTCTTAGTATCTGCTTTTAGAGACAGAAGAGGAACAAAACTCTTTAGGAGATCTCTGTTGTGCATGTGGAATGTAGGCAGCGTTCCTAAAAGAATGTGAGTACATGACGAAGAACTTTGTGTGACATTATTGTTACTGTTGTTGTTTATACCGAATGTTTTTGGGTTTTATCTAGGTTCTGCTGTTTGGCAGCTGATTGCATCATTCTTGAAGCTCCCGATATCGGGGACCCATTGCATTGTAGGTGCTACGATTGGATTTTCTCTGGTGGCAATTGGCACGCAGGGAGTCCAGTGGATGCAGCTTGTCAAGATTGGTGAGTGCTGTTTCCTTTTATGTGTGAGGGTCTCTCACGTAATAGTGTGAGATAGCGTGCACTGCCTGCAACAAACCTTCCCAGAAATCTGCCTTGTGCTGATAGCACTCCCTCCTTAAATTATTTTCCGCCCCAGTCTTGTCATTCAAAAAATGCACTGATGCCATATTCATTGAGGGCTGCAGTGTGTCTCCAGTGGAGAAAGGGATAAGACAGAAGTTGCACTTCCCCAGCTGTAAGCTGAGGAGACATTGTCCCTCAGAGACATGCTCCAAGGTGACATTCCTCCTCTTCTAATTCTTTTCATGGCAGCTCATACCACCTCGTTCTTGCTCTCAACAATGCTAGCCATCATGTGAATGCCCACAGTCGTGTTTCTCCACCCACCAGCTTCAGGGAGGCGAAAGCTGGGCATACAGCACATGTTTAACTCAAAGCCTCCCACTGTCAAGATCAGCACAGCCAAGCAGGGATGTGAAGGAGTTTTCATTATTGTTTTGGAAGCCTTGTAACCTGAGTCGCAGCCTAAACGCTGTATTAAAAGGATTTGAAGCTGAAGGCATGGAAATACAATTGAGCTTTAGAGAAGTTGCAGCAGTGAATATTTTTTTTTGATTCTGTCAAAAGTAGAAGAGAGTTTGCAATGACAGCAGAATCAATCTGTTAACCATGCCACAAACAATACATCACTCTGGATGAGATTTCCAGAGCACTGCCCTAATCCAGTCTTATTGAAATCAGTGGGAGTTTTGCCACCTACTTCAGTTAAATCAGTCCTGGACACTTGCAAATCTGGCCTGCAAAAAATGTACTCACGTTATTCGTTACAGTTGATGCTTCTACGGCATTTTGGAAATTGAGACTTTTACCCTGAGAGCAGCATGGCATCCTGCTAGATGCAGTTGCTTTCCACTTGCTTGCAACATTCGTGGTCCTGGTGATTAGGAAATTACAGGGCTTTCTTGGTCCACTCTGTATCAAGCTACAAGAAACTTTCCTGATGAATTTGATTGCTAAACTTGCAAAATTGTCAGGAAATGCTTTGGCTGATGTTTCTGATAGTGCCCACCGTTACTTTGACTTTCATGAGTGTCAGTGGACATTGAGTTGCACCAGTTATAAGTAAACATAAGGAACATTCGTTCCAGTTGTACAAGAACTTTTTAAAATTTATTGCTCATTAACTACTTACTTAACTATTATGCAAGAATACTGTTTATTTCATGTTTCATTCTTTCTTTAACACAGTTGCTTCTTGGTTTATTTCCCCACTGTTGTCTGGCTTGATGTCTGGAGTCCTCTTTGTGCTGATTAGATTCTTCATTTTAAACAAGGTAAAGACATCTCACTATTATAATGAGTGCTCAGTATGAAGGCTGTGCTTTAGCCTCCCATTTGAGTGCTGGCATTTCCAAAGCTGAAAGTTTATGGCTTGCTTTTTGGACAGGAGACCAGTCACCTTTTTTATAGGCATTGGAACTGTACTTGCTTTTAGCAGTTCTGAAAACTCAGAGTAAGTTATTTGACAAGTATTTGAGGCTTGGAAGGTGCTACGTGATAGTGAATATTGTATATGCTGTTTGATTAAATGATGGCACATTGAGATTGCTTCTGTATTAGTGCAAACTTGTTGGCATTGAGTTAGCCTCACGATAGCCGTTCTGTTACTTAGACAGAGCAGTCCTCCCTTGGATATACTCTAGTTGGTACTTCTTAGTTGTGAAATTTTAAGCTTGGTTTTCTAGCACATCAGACATTAGGAGATGGGCATCTGCATATTTCCTAGATTCTCAAGAAACCTGAATCTGTGGGTTTTAGTGACCTCAGTCAAAAGTGGCAGCTTTGAGGTAACATCAGTCCATATATGTCCAGTGTGGAAGATGATTTGCCTGCCACCCAGCATGAACTGGGAACCAGAACACTTTTATCTGCTCTTTCCATTTCTGTCACACCATTCAACTTGCTAAAATGGGGGAGTGCAGTGCATAACAATGACCTAAAATAAGGGACACGATATTAGCAGTTATACAGGGAACTTAAATAGATGAGAGATTAATTCTTTTGCTATAAATAACTCCACCTATAATGTCAGCTTCATCGTTCTTTATTTCTGATGTAAATAAATGTCAGTGATAAAAGCAGATGATAAATTTGATTTGACTCAGCTTTGAATTTAAAATCACTCAAGTTTCATAAAGGGCGAGGAAAAGTTCCTCTATTGCATTCAAAATGTAACAACTTAGAAATTAGTCATGAAAATCACATGAACTCTGGTGTAAAAGCCACATATTTAAGCATACAAGAGGCAGAAAAAGTTAAAGCTCATGAAATTGTCTTCTGCCAGCCATCTGTGCCATTCACAAAGTAGTAAGATCTGTAGAGCTTCTGGCATAAGCAGGTAGTGACTTGGGCTGTGCGCGTGCATAAAAAAAGAGCAGCTTTTCAGCTTGCAAGTCAATGGCCTGGTGTAGGGGTTCATGTCCTTGTTGGGGCTCTCTGTGAATAGCAGCTGGCCCTGTGGGTACAGCCCGTGCTGCATCACACTTTGGGACGAGGGCATAGCAGAGGGCGGCCGCAGCCTTCTCTCAGCTCCCTTTTACAGCTCGTGACAGCAAGAAACAAAACCACATTAGCCAGCCCTTAGCTTTGCCAGGCTCTTTGCAAACACACGGAGCCCCTTAAAAGGCCAAAGCAGTCTCCTCACAAAGGCCTTGTCCATGGCTCGCACGGTGCATTTCCGCTGCACCGTCAGCTGAGCCTTTCCTCATGAGCGCTGAGGGCACAAGACCGTGGTGGGCAGCAGGCACGGTGGCGTGCTAAACATTGCACACTTGCTTCGTTTGTGTTACCTGTTTAACACAGCCACACACTTAGTATTTCAGAGATTTCTGTTAGCTGGTGAAAAGTGCCAGTTTGGCTCAGTCGAAACCGAGAGGTTAGGAATAAGGTTTTGCAATGGACACTTTGCACTGGTGCTTGTAGCCCTGCCCTGAAAATATCAAAGCCCTGTCCTGCTCGGCACTCTTCAGTCGTGCCGAGTGAAAGGCACTCTTCATCTTGGAGACAAAATAGGTAAGAAAATGCTCGCAGAAAGAAACCTGCCCCCAGGTCACCCAGCAGGTCTGCAGCTGACCTGAAAGTACAACCTCTCTCCCTGGTTCCCATTAACCGCGTCAAGCTGCCCCAGAATGCTGGTGCTTGCCAGGACCAGCGTTGTGGATTTGGGTGTAGCCAGACAGGTCACCATGCTTTCCTCACCATCCACCCAAAAGGCTCCATCTGCCTGGCACTGACTCGGGAGCACGTGCTTTCCTCATGGCGGTTCATGCTGACATTAATCTGGTGGAAAATCCAGCTAATGTTTCCTCTTTTCCCCTGATATCTATGCAGGAAGACCCTGTGCCTAACGGTCTCCGCGCACTTCCAGTGTTTTATGCTGCTACCATAGCTATTAACGTGTTTTCCATCATGTACACGGGGGCACCAGGTGAGTGAGCCAGCCGCAGCGGGAGGCAGGGGAGGGAGGCTTCCGCGGTGCGCAACGGTGCTGTGCCGGCCTGCTGTCAGGGAGCTGTCGACACCGCACGGGGATTCCCTACGTTAGGAGTTAATGAGGGCAGGAGTAAATCATACACCTCCCCACACGCTTCTGTGTGTGCATGTGTTTTTATGACTCCCTCCTGATCACTCTGGTTAGTGGGGAAGAGGACAGCTACAAAAAAAAATAAAAATCCCCCCTTAGAGGAAGGGGAGATATGGAGCTGCCACCTTCAGCTTCATAAATCTGAGCATGTGTTCAGCTCTCAACGGAATTCCAGATATGTGCCCTCAAGGAGGGAAGGTTCAGAGTGGGCGGTAAGAGCAGGTAGTCTGTTTGCACTCAGTCTAACGCTATAGCTCCGTTGAAATCAGCAGAGTCATGGTGCTGGCAGATCTGGCATGGAGCCTATTAATTAAATTTACTTCTTATTCCCTTCAATGGTAAGAAGCCCCAAGCCTGTATCTGCATTGAATGCATCTTTTTTCCTGGGTGCTGTGTTTTCATTGGAACTCAGTAGAAGGCATTGATACATGCAATTTTCAGGACTTTGTTTATATTTTTGTATGTTTTATGTGCATTTATATGTTTGTGTTTATTTATATTTGTGTTTATATTTGAACTTACATTTTTATATTTATATTCACACATTTTATGTTTATATATTTGCATTTATATGTTTATATCTAACTTTACTTAAGCAGTGTGCATTTTAAAACGCACTTGCAGCAAGAGTTCAGAAAAGAGATGTTCAATGCTTTTGACTACTTTATTGAAGACTCTGGCCATTAAATGTTATCTTTGGATTAGATTATTGCCCCAGAGCTGTGAATGAACAAGCAATTTAAAAAAGACTCCTGAACACGCCCCTGAATTAAGAAAGTGACCTTTTTTGAACAGAAATTTCTTTTCTCTAAAACCTGACACACTAGATGTACTAGATAAATGCAGTTGGTAGACTCTACTTCATAGCATAGCATTACTGAAATTAATAAAAGGCTTGAGAAGTTAACAATTTGAGTGACATAACTCAACTATTCCTTTTTCTTAAGTCTAATTGGCTGCCTAGCCAAGATGTTTCACAGTAAATCAGCTGTATAACCAACATTTCCTCATTAGTTGTACTGCAGAAGTAGGTCAGGCACTCTGCAGTGACTCATTAAGCAAAATAAATGAAATAAGAATCTTAATGTCCCTTCTGTTTCAGCTTAGCAGTCTCTATAAAGTGTGTGAATAAAAAGGTGGGACTCTGTTTTTATACTCAGGAAATACACAGTTACTCACCAAGGCCTCTGCCCTGGCAACATTTACTCACAAGGATGAATTACTCATGAAGGTTTCAAGATAGGCGTGTATATACGGGTTTGAAAGATCAGAGTCCAAGCTCTTTCTTCATTAAGGGTCTGATCATTTAATTGAACAAGCACAAGGAGCTCTGTTGAGGGAATACTTACAGGAACATGAGTTATTGACATGATTGTGCATTGCAGGACTGAAACCTCAGCTCTCAAGTGCTACATCAAGCTATTATCATAAGCAAATAATGACTTAGATTAAGCTAAGCATCAGGCTGTAACCACCAGAGCAAAGGTCATGTAAATACTTACCTTAATGGGCAACATGGTTTAACAGGCATTAGTGTATAAACTCACTCCAAACTTGTTTTAGCAGCCCTGATGTGGGCTTTGGAAATAAGCTCACAGTGGGGTAACAGAGAATTGGAAGATAACCCTGCAAATGGTTGCATGTCAACTAGACCATTAAATACTGCACTAACTGATATATATGTTAAAAATTATCAGCTTATTCATGTTGGTTTTGAATACATTGTGATCACAGGCTTTTCTGCAACAGACTGTTTTTCCACTGCCTGAGATAATTAAGTCATGTTAATTTACAGTTTGCTTGGGGTTTACTTCTTTGTCTTCACAGTACTGGGACTGGTACTGCCAATGTGGGCCATTGCTCTAATATCAGTCGGCGTATCCTTAGTATTTGCCGTTTTAGTCTGGATTTTCGTGTGCCCCTGGATGAAGAGAAAAATAGAAAGTAAGTAGTTGCTCGATGAAATGTGAGTGATATAAATCATGGAAAATTTAATTTCAGAGCTGGAAGTACCCTTGAGAGGTCACCTAGTCCAGTCCCCACCCACAGGCAGAATGTGCTTAAACTGTTCCTCATGTATTTGTGTAACCTGCTCTTAAAACCCTGCAGTGGTAGAAATTCAAAACCTTGTTAGTCCATCCATTGCAGTGCTCCTTCTTCTAGAGTCTAGCAGAAACAGGAAAATAAATCCTGGAATATAATCCATTTTATATTTTATTATGAAAACATTAAAGAGGAAAAATCTGGCAGAATTATTACCTTTAAGTAACTTCTTTAACTTTACAATAAGTTGGGCTGATCACAGCCTTTCGCTTTACAGTGTTCTGCTTGTTTGCTTTGCTACAGTCAACAAATGCAGTGTTTAAAATGCAGAGAAAAGTTTCAGATTTCATTAATAAACGAGCAGCTCAGTGTTTTACTTGAGTTACCTACTTCAGCGAATTCTGTAGCAAGAAACAAAGATGCTCTAGAATTTTCTAGGTGAATTTAGTAAAGATAAAGTGTAAGAAATAAAGAAAGAACGTGTATGAAATGGTGCCAGGTTATTGTATCCAGGTTGATCTATGCCATTGATGCAAACAGTGGAAACATAAGCAGCAAGATGGATAGGTTACAGTACTGTTATTTCCTTAGGCCGGTTAAAGAAAGATGCTGCACTGTCAAGGATATCAGATGAAAGTCTTGATAAAATTCAAGATGAAGAAACACCAGTCTTTAAAGAGCTTCCCGGTGCCAAAGCATCTGACGAGAGCACAATTCCGCTTACTGGCTCAGTAACAGAAGCTGCTGGGGCATCAGATACTATTGCAAATGGAAACCATCCACGTGTACCGTATGGTAAGAAACTAAGACAACACAGAGGTTTTATCTTCTTGTTTTGACAGGGTTTGTTAACTGCAAGTGGGTCTCTGTTGTAAACGGTAAATTAGTGTTTGGGATTTCCAGCTCTAATCCCTCTTCAGCATTTGTTGGGAAGGATGCTCGTTTACAAGTGACGTTTTCTAGAGAGGACTTAAAAACAATTACATTTTGTTGGCTGTATTTCAATTTTAGAAACAGCTGAAAACAAAAATTACTTTCCTTTTTGCTTTATTTTGTATCCTTAATGGTGTTTCTATCCTTTTAAGCAGTGGAAAAATACAGAGAACACAAATTGCTGATGTATGAAGGTTAAATTCAGCATAAAGATGATTAGCATACTATCACAGGAGATGAAAAGATTTGGGCTTTAGTTGACGAACGTGTGACTGTTTGGAGCACGTCCACTAGAAAACTCTCACACATTGTTGTCTGAACGTATATTTATAAGAAGTAGGCTTGTGTGCATAAAGCTCATTTTGTTCTTCCATGTGGTGGGATCGCACCCCCCTACACTTGGCGGTCTGCTGACTTTGAGATCACTTTGCTAACATCTACACAGCCCTGTAATTTGGTTAATAAATGTCTAATACATTCAACTGATTCTTACAAAATCAAATAAGTCATGACGTGAAGCCCTTTGAGTATGTGCTTCCAGTTTAAAAATAGCTAAAACCAATTCTGAATGTTGCACAGTGGAAATCCAGGAAGTCAGGAAATGAAAAGATAGTTTCTTCAGAAATACTGCCTTAGCCATGATACATCCTACAGCGTACGCTAATGTGAAATGTATACAGTGGGAATAACTATCATCATGTTCATAGAAATAAGATAGACAAAATGTTGGAATAGCTGAGGAAATATTTCTGCAGAACATAAACTTTTTTGCTTTCTTTTTTAAAAATTATTTTTAGAAGTTATGTAAATGTCGCTTAAACATAAGTACTTTTGAAAGGTGACCTCATATTCAGTATGCAATGACAGTAAACCACCTTTCCTGAAATCCTTATTATGCCTATTCAACACAGAATAAGCCTCAGAAAAATTAGAGCTTATTTTACAAGCAGGAAATTTTATAGAAATTACTTTTTCAAAGAACTTGAGGATTTAACCTTCAAGTATCACCTTCGAATAGCTGATCCCAAGTGACTTGCTGCCAGTCACACAGCATGTCTGGGGGAGACTCAACGCTGGAACAAAGCCCTTTTTGCACGGAAGATGAGAGAGTTTATTTTGCAGAGAATTGAATCTCGCCTTATTCACTGCGTGCATTGCAAACTGGTCTTCTTTGTCCTGTACTCTCAGATCGCTGCCAAATTTATTGTCTTGTGAAGTGGGAGGGAGGGGGCTTCTGCATTACATTTTGTAGAAATAAAAACTCTAAATCACTGCCTTTTTAGGAAGGGCATTTTCGATGACGCACACCTCAGTGAAATCACCTGTTTCCAATGGCACCTTCAGCTTCGATGGCCAGATGAGGAGCGATGGCCACGTTTATCACACTGTGCACAAGGACTCAGGTTTATACAAAGACTTGCTCCACAAAATACACCTGGACAGGGCCACCGATGAGCGGCCCGCTCAGGAAAACAACTACAAACTCTTACGACGCAACAACAGTTATACTTGTTACACAGCTGCTATTTGTGGCATGCCTGTGCATTCCTCCTTTAAGGCAGCGGATACGTCAACCCCAGAGGACAGTGAGAAGTTAGTGGGAGACACTGTTTCCTACTCCAAGAAGCGAGTTCGCTATGACAGCTACTCCAGCTATTGCAACGCAGTGGCCGAGGCAGAGATCGAGGCGGAGGAAGGTGGGGTGGAAATGAAGTTGGCCTCTGAACTCGCAGATCCTAACCGGCCCCCAGTTGATCCCGTGGAAGAGGATAAGGAAGAGAAAGACACATCTCAGGTCCACCTACTTTTCCACTTCCTCCAGATCTTAACAGCCTGCTTTGGATCCTTTGCCCATGGAGGTAATGATGTCAGGTAAGAGGACGAGATCTCACAAAGCAGCAATTTTACAGTTTAAGTGCTTGGAGCAAGGTTTGCCAGCTTGGTCAGTTGGAAAGCATATTCATTTCTGCAGGCAGATGGTCATCAGGGCTGTGTTTTCCAAAGCTTGTGACACTGATGTCCCTCGTGCTTTCCAGGAGTTAGGCTCTCAGTCTATGGTTTATTTTCTTCTCAATGGTAACATCTTTTTTATTCGCTGCTAAATAATTGTGCAGTAATTAGTTTAATTCAGGTTTAATTATGACAAGCTTTGGGGCATTGAGACTCTCCCTGGCATGCCAATCACTGTAAAAGCAAACAGAACAGCCCCAGTCTCACAGAGTTCACAGTCTATTTTAACTGAAAGATTGGAGACCATCAGCAAATGAAAGGTTTAGACCGTTTTTGTCATTAGATGAATTTCATCTCCTGTCACATTGTGAAAAAAGGTGTGTGAAGAATGTCTTCATTTTGATTGCTGCAGCCTTTACAGACTTCCCTTTGCTGAATCTTTTGCTTGGAGTTTTCCAGAGGTCTAGGACCATGTGAGGCAGTGTATCACTAAATAGCCTAGAAAATCTAACAAGCCTTCACATGAAAATCCTACTAAAGTACATAAACTGCACATGCAACTTCTCCAGCTGCCACAGTTTTCTTACCAAAATAAAGGGAGCTACCCCCAAGGAGCCCTGGGCATGCTCCCGTGCTCCCATGCAGAGAGAGGACATGGACTATGGCTTATTTCCTAGCTGTCATTTAAGAAGCTTGCCATCTCCTGACATAGTTCTTGTATGCAGTACTCCCCAGCAGGAGTTTTATCCAGAGCCACTATCACTGTTGACTTGCTCCTTGAGTTTGTAAGAAGCCAGTGAGTTCATCCTTTAGTCATTTGGCTTAAATGTGTCTGTCCTTAAATCACGTGGCATTAACATAATTTCCCAGGAATAAAGGAAAAGGATCATCCTCCAGGAGTCTTTCTCTCGTGTTCATATTGACTCAGGCAGCTGACAAAATCTCAAAGTTGGTCTCAGAAATGTTTATCTGCACCTCTTTGCCCTCCGTTATCTGGTCAGACCCCTGCAAAATAGCGTCTCTTCACTCACTTATTTGCCGACCTCTTTCCTTCTTTCCCTTCAAAGGCTTGGCTCTGTTTCATTCCACAAAGTACAAGACTTTTGACCGAAGGACGTAGGATGTAGGCTCAGGATGGAGCATTTTATACCTTCCTCCTCTGCAGTCACATTGCTCATCTGCTTATAGCATTGCTTCATCTGCAGGGCCCTATTGCACCTCGCCATGGCAGTGGCACGTGGCTGAAGAGCAGTATGGGTGTTTTTGCTCTGTCCTTGGGAACGTTGCATATTTTTCCTTCAGGATTTGGCTGGACTGCCTCTTCCCTAGGCCTGGAGCAATCCACTTGGTATTTAGTAGGTTTTTCCTGTATCGTGATAAGGTCCCCTGAGAAATCCACTCAGAAGCTGCTTGTCGAAGCAGTAGTCCTTATTTGGGTTGTAGCAGGGGCCGCACTGAGTCCCCTTCCCGCTGAACCCTCTCTGTATTAGCTATGCCCTGCCGGTGTCGGTTTCAGCATTTGCAGCAGGGCTTTGCAGTGTTCATAACATTCATAGTCCTCCTTAGGCATCTGGGCAAATGCTGTCGCACTCAGCAAGGAGAATGGTTATTGCTCCTTGCTCTTGTCAGGCACCCGATTTAACTTGCAGCTCATCTCGAAAACACTTACAAACATGTCTCTTCCCTCCCTGTCCATCCAGCGTCCTGGGAATTCAGAATAGCCCTTTCTGAAGAGTCTTCTTGTTCTCACTCTTGTTATTACTCCCTTCGTATCTGCAGGGATCTGGCTCTGGGAAGGAGTCCAGGGTCCCCTCATCCTCTGGACTGGAGGGCAGTGGTGCAACTGTCTTTCCTCTCGGATGGTGTCCATTGACCAGTACCTCTGCTCTGAGCACACTGGGCAAGTGCAAAGACCTGTGGAGACGGGTACCCGTGCTCTGCAAGTGGCCAGCAGCAAGTGCCAAGAGGAACATAGGAATAAAGACAAACACTGCTGATATTTCTTGTAATGTACCCTGGGAAATACCATTGCAGAAAGTTCACAGTCTACCCCAGTAGGTGCTCCTGCTCCTTTATTCCCTGTAGGTGACGTCTGTCCATACTCCTCAAGGACTCACATGTTTATGCAGACATCACTTGCCTTTTCTGTAGGAGGCAAAGGTAGTAGAGTTTGTTAGACGTGATCTGTAAGGATGCAGTCAGTTCAGAAATCAAAAATGGTGATGATAGGAGTTGGACAGAATGACAGACAAGGTTTCGACTCTGTGCAGTATGTTTTGTTGCACCTTGCAGCTTAATTCCCCCAGAATTCTGCATTTGGCCTGGCTTGTTGCCTTGGCAATATCCTTTCCTGAAAATTAATATTTTTTAGTGTTTTGCAGAGCGCAACTTCTGTCAGTGACCCTACCAAATTTGCCAGCAAGCATGCATTTTTATTAAATGCTGTTTATTCCAAAATCTCTTCTTAAGCTGAATTCATGTAATTGCAGAACTAAAGAATGAGTCAGCTTCATTTTGTCAAATCTGGTAGAAATGCAAGAAGGTGGTCATGGGTGTAGGACTGGATAGGAACCCATCCTTGCAATTGTACTGAGTTCCAGCTAAGCAATAAAAATTAAAGACCCCTTTGTATGCCAAAAAGGTTGAGTAGATAAAACACTCTGGGAATGCAGATATCTATGCTGTGGATTATGTAGCAGAGACATTTTTCCAGTCTTTGTCTAGTACAGCAGAAGACTTCTTACTGGGCTCTTGGCTCCTCTGCATGTTGCGTAAAGATCTGCAGAGCTTGAAAGGCAGTGTGTTGTTTTAAAAATAATGCAGTAGAACCTAGCTAGTAGCACGGCTTTCTGTCCGCATTTCCGTAAGAAAGCAAGCTTTGGCAGTCCATCTTCCACTGAAGGCTGCTATCTTTTCATCTCCCTCCTTGGTTCGCTTTCCTTCTGCTCATTTTAGGTGCTGCTGTCAAGCTGCTTCTCTGTTTTTCTCTCAGCCTTGAATCCTGTCATTAAAATCCTGCTTTCCTCTGCATTTGGTTTTAAGCTCTTCGCTCATATATTTAGGGCAGCACCTCTGTTGTCCACAGCTTTTTCTTTGGACTTGTCTTCTGCATTTTCCTTCCCCATCCTGGAACTCACTCTTGTCCCATGTTTTCTATTTATTTTCGATCAGGCTGTTTGCTAGTATCCCTTGAAGGGACAGCAGTAGGTAAGAGGAGCAAAGAGAGAAAAAATAAAAGCTGATATAAAAATTTAAAACTTTAGGTAGTTAAATGATTGACCCACTTTAGAGTATATTTAAGCATGGGGCATATGGTATGGACTGAACCATGATGCAGCTCAGAAACACTTTATGGAGCAGAAGTGCCCCATATCATTTGGATAGCACTTTAGTGGGCAAAAAACCCTATGGTGATCCCCCTTGTTTCATTGTTGAGGCTCTTCTCCTGGACCTGGAAGTTAAATCAGTATTTTGCCTTCAACTGCAGAACTAACTCATAATAAGGGTAGCTAAACCCCAGTTTCTTCCAAGATGATGCTTTTTAACATCACAATGATACCAGCCATCTTTGCTGTAGGAGCTGATGTTTGTAGCAGTCAGGGCTCATGTTTAGGCTGACATCAGCAGGGATCCTGGCCGGGGCAGTTGTGCATTAAAAGAAACAGGGAGTCATGGTAACTCCTTATTTGGGTGACTCTTTTGTTCAGACCATCCCCTCCTGCCCCCCTGCTGCAGAGCTTATATGTGCTGTGTCAAGGATGCTGGATCCCTTCCAGGGCTGGGACTAACTGAGCTGGGCCGAGAGCCTTGTGACACCATCGTGCACATGGGCTGAATGAAATCTAAAGAATTTAAAATCCCAACTAAATGTGTTGGGACAGAACCACTGAAAAAAATGTTGTTGTTGAACTTAATTAGCGGCGCCAAGTGAGCAGGTCCCACTGGCTCAGCACCCAAGCACAAAGGGAGCACGTCAGGTCATTGCAAGGGCAATGGGAGAATAAAAAGGGCAGGATGGAAAAAAAGACCTGGGCCAGGAGCGTGACACAAGGAGAACTGCCAGCTTCCTAAATGCTTGTTCAGAGCCAGCTTTCCAGAGAGGCTGGGAGGCTGGGCTTCGTTGCCTGGTGGGGATTATATACACCTGCAGTTGAGTTGGACTGAGCTTATTTTCCTTAAATATAGGTTGGTTCATCAAGAATTGTGATGATCCAGAGCTCAGTGCTGCACTCGCAGAAGCCTACCTGTATAAATGCAGGTAGCAGGAGAGTCGCTGAAGCTGTAGGGACATTAACTATTTCCCGAAAATGCAGGCAGTTGGGCAGGCTGTTTTGGAAATGGCTACAGAGGACTGCTAACCCCATAGCTATCTCCTGTGCTCAGCACAATGGTGGCTGTGGCTGCTTTGCTACTGGGATGGGAATAAGAAAGCTATGAGCAAACGGTGCTTCGGCCCTGCAGCCCATCCAAGCAAATGGCAAGATGCTTTTGTTAACTCAAGCAACCTCTGGAGCTTGTTATTCCTTGAATTCTTGCAATCGAAGCAGGATGACCCTTGGAAAGATACTGTAGGTCGATGTGAGGTTTGCTGATTAAAATCTGCTGTTAATGCTGTGAAAAAAGCCTGAGCCTTGTGCTCCTACACACCTTTCTGTCCATGTGTTTAGTCTTGTAAGGATTCCTTCTCCTATAAATGCGTAGCCTCTTCTGTCCCTTCCTGTCCCCCATGTCCACCTCAGGCCATCATTTTAGAGAAACCCTGGGGATGACAGAAGGAGCTGCATGCCCTGGCTTATTTGAGCCGGCATCTAGCTGGGGCTTATGGATTCCAGCCATGAAGGAAGGTGGTTTATTATTGTGAAGGTGGCAGGAGCCACGATGCTCCAGCTGAGCAGCTGAAGAGGGTGACCACAGACTGTGCT